ATTCAACAGAAAGCCAAAACTCAGTCCAAGGAATCTAAGGATTTCAATAAAATCATACAGGAGCTGATAGACAAAATGGCCATCATAAAAAAAAAAAAAAAAAAAAAAAAGCAAAAAAAAAACCAAACTGATCTGATAAAGCTGAAAAATACACTACAAAAATTTCATAATGCAATTGCATATATTAACAGCACAATGGAATAAACTGAGAAAAAAACCTCAGAGCTTAAAGACTGACTCTCTGAAATAACTTGATCAGAAAAAAAGAAAGAAAGAAAGAAAGAAAGAAAGACAGACGAGGGAATTTAAAAAAATGAAAAAATCCTCTGAGAAATATGGGATTATGTAAAGAGACCAAATCTAGAACTCATTGGTGTCCCTGAAAGAGACAAGGAGAAAGCAAACAACTTTAAAACATATTTTAAGATATCATCCATGAAAACTTCCCCAACCTTGTTAGAGAGTCAAACATCCAAATTCAGGATACACAGAAAACTCCTAAGAGATACTACACAAAAAGACAATCACCAAGACACATAATCATCAGCTTCTTCAAGATCAAAATGAATTTTAAAATGTTAAAGGCCACTAGAGAGAAAGGGCAGGTCACCTACAAAAGCAACACCATCATGCTAACAGCAGAACTTTCAGCAGGAACCAGACAAGCCAGAAGAGCTTGGGGCCTATATTCAGCATTCTTAAAGAAAATAATTTTCAAGCAAGAATTTCATATACAGCCAAACAAAGCTTCACAAATGAAAAAGAAATGAGATTCTTTTCAGACAAGCAAATGTTGAGGGAATTTGTTACCACCAGACCTGACTTATAAGAGACAGTGAAAGGAACACTAGTATAGAAAGGAAAGAACATTACCAGACACTACAAAAACACAATTAAGTACACAGAACAGTGAAACTATAAAGCAACACCAACAAGTCTGCATAATAATCAGCAACAACAACACAAAAGCAGGATCAAATCTGCAGATGTTGATATTAACCTTTAATATAAACAGGTTACACATGCCACTTAAAAGACAAAGAGTGGCAAGCTGAATGAAGAAGCAAGCCCCAATGGTTAACTGTCTTCAAGAGACCTATCTCAAATGCCATGACACTCATAGGGTCAAAATAAAGGGACAGAGACAAATCTACCAAACAAATGGAAAGCAGAAAAAAAGCAGGAGATGCCATCCTAATTTCAGACAAAACAGGCTTTGAGCCAACAAAGAGTTAAAGATACAAAGAAGGGCATTACATAATGATAAAGGCTTTGATTCATTAAGAAGATCTAACTATCTTGAATACATACACACACAACACAAGAGCACCTAGACTCAAAAAGCAAGTTCTCGGAGATCTACAAAGAGACTTAGATTCATATACAATAATAGTGGGAGACTTCAACACCACATGACAGTGTTAGATTGATCATGGAGGTGAAAAAATAACGAAGATATTCAGGAGCTGCACTCAACACTTGAGCTGGTGAACCGAATGGACATCTACAGAACTCCCCACCCAAAACAATAGAACACGCATTCTTCTTATTGCCACATAGCACATACTCTAAAATAGACCACATAATCATAGATAAGACAATCCTTAGCAAATTCAAGAAAACAAAATCATACCAACCACCTCCTCAGAACTTAGAGCAATAAAAGTATAATTATAGCAAGGAAATGGCTCCAACAATTATGTGGAAATTAAACAACCTTCTCCTGAATGACTTTTGGGCAAATAATGAAGGGCAGAAATAAAGAAATTATTTGAAACTAATGAGAGCAAAGATACAACATATCAGAATCTCTGGGACATTGCTAAGTCAGTCTTAAGAGGCAGGTTTGTAGCACTAAGCGTTCACATCAAAAAATTTGAAAGATCTCAAATTAACAACCTAATATCACAACTAGAGGAACTAGAGAAACAAGAACAATCAATCCCCAAGTTAGAAGAAGGCAATAAATTACCAGTATCAGAGCTAAACTAAAGGAAATTGAGATGTAAAAAACCAGACAAAAGATCAATGAATCCAGGAGTTCATTTATTGAAAAAATTAATAAGATAGATTGCTATCTAGACTAAAAAAAGAGTTAAGATCCAAATAAACACAATTAGGCATGACAAAAGGATATTACCACTGACCCCAAAGAAATGCAAAAATCCTTCAGAGACTACTATAATCACCTCTATGCACACAAGCTCTAAAACCTAGAAGAAATGGATAAATTCCTAGGAACATGTTACCGCTGATGACTAACCCAGGAGGAAATTGAATATCTGAACAGACCAATAAGAAGTTCTGAAATTGAATCAGTAAGAAAAAGCCTACCAACTGAAAATAGCCCGTGACCAGATGAATTCACAAATACTATATGATGTATAAAGCAGAGCTGATACCATTCCTACTGAAAGTATTCCAAAAATTGAGAAGGTTCCACTCCTTTCCAATTCATTCTATGATGCTAGTATCATCCTGATACCAAAAGGCAGAGACACAACAAAAAAAGAAAACTTTATTCTTGAAAAGAAAAAGTTATTCTTGATGAACATAAACACAAAAATCCTCAATAAAATACTAGTAAACCAAATCTAGCAGTACATCAAAAAGCTAATTCAACACAATCAAGTAGGCTTTATCCCTGGAATACAAGGTTACATACACAAAACAAGAAATGTGACTCGTCACATAAACAGAGCTAAAAGCAAAAGGTACATGACCATCTCAATAGATGCAGAAACAGCATTCCATAAAATGCAACATTCCTTTATGTTAAAAACCCTAAATACACTAGACATTGAAGGAACATACTTCAAAATAGTAAGAACCATTTCCAACAAACCCATAGCCAACCTCATACCTTACAGACAAAAGCTGGAAGCACTCCCCTTGAAAACTGGAACAAGACAAGAATGGCCTCTCTCACCATTCCTATTCAACAGAGTACTAGAAATCCTGGCCAGAGGAATCAGGCAAGATAAAGAAATAAAAGGCATCCAAGTAGAAGAGAGAAAGTTAAACTATCCCTGTTTGAAGATGACAAAATCCTGTATTTAGAAAACCCCATATCTCTGCAGAAAAGCTCCTTGATCTTATAAACAACTTCAGCAAAGTTTCGGGATACAAAATCAATATACAAAAATCAGTACACGTTCCTATAAACCAACAACATCCAAGCTGAGAAACAAAACAGAAATGCAATTTCATTCACAATTGCCACAAAAATTTACAAAAAGATTTATTGTACTCATCAATGTTGGAAATCACCATACTACATTTTTTTTTTTTTATAGAGCAGGCTATTTGTGGAACAAGAGGCTTTTATCAGGATGTGTTTTGTATGTTGTGTCTTATGCGACAGGCACTGTGTACGTCACTTTGGATCCTTTTTCTAATAATCAGGATGTATGTTTTGTATGTTGTGTCTTATGTGACAGGCACTGTGTACGTCACTTTGGATCCTTTTTTTTATAATCTTCAAATCAAAGTAATAAGGCAATCATCCCATTTTTTTAGATGACAAAACTGATAGTATCTTCTCAAAAGTGGATAGTCTGCATAGGAAAACTTCAGTCACCAGAGAACCTCTAACTCTGAACCATCCTCAGATGTCACAGAAAACATCACAAAACCTATCTGGTAGTTCCTTAACCAAAGCACCAGCTTCCTGTTGCCATTCTCTGTGCCTCCCTTTATTATAATTGAAGGGCTAATCAGTATTTTGACAGGGCATTTTAACCAATCTCTGACTAAATAGTTTATTTTACTGTATTTCTCATTCATTTATTAAGCATATAATCAGAGATGCTACTAGATTCTAAGATTGTTATGATTTACAAGGAATATACTGATAAAATCATTCCTGACCAGTGGAGGAGAGGAGAGTACACAAAAATGAAGACAGAAATACAAGAGTGTGTTCCTCTCTGACATTTCATTGTTCATTCACAGCTTTCCCCATTGCTTCAGAACCATAATTCAGTTTACTTTCAACATTCTTACTCTTTCCTACATGTGTTGTTTCATATATGGTACTCTCTTTGTCTGGAATATTTTTTTCTCTTGTACCTTCACTGGCCCTTATATATTTCTGGGCCAGCCTAAAACTGTCCTCAAGCAAGACCTCCTGATACCCCCTCCAAAAATAAAACAGATCATCTTTGTGTCCTTCACAGGTCCATTTATTTCCTTTATAATACTTGTCACAACAGTAATGACAGTATATTTTCAAACCTATAAGTAAGCTGAGATTATATATACTACCTGCACAGGAAAGAAAAAACAAGGGTGCATGAATGAGTTTAGATCCGTGTATATCAAATCCTATTCCACACTGCATTTTATTTACCAATAAGTTGGACTGTGTAGTCACATGCCTCTGTGCCACATAATCCTCTATCAGCAGCGAATGAGAAGCCAACTTACAGAAAGAAAAGGGAAGTATTAAGTCATTATTCTCTTATTTACTTTTTCACCCAAGCCCCAAGATGCACAATGACCCAGTCATAGAGGTGACTCCCTCACACCTGTGAGTTGAAGACAGACCTACTCTTTACAGGAATTCTCCATAGGTGATTAGATTTTTATTATTTCGTTATTATTACCCAAAGCTCATATTTTCCTGAAGAGTGTCTACAGATTTTACCTGGTGGATCAGTAAACAGGCAGTGTGTTTTTGTCATCTTGGCAGAAGTGGCCTCGAATAGACCCCATGCCTAATCATTGCCAGCTCAGATCTGTTTTCTCTTTTACTGTAATGCTGGTTTCTATGTATGCTGAAATGTAGGTTAAGAAACTAAATGTATGCCAGCATCCAAAAAGATGAGCAGAGGGGGGATTCTATAAAAAGGGATTTTGAGAAACATACACACACACATACACTCACACACATACATATGTATTACATCCAACTTTCATAGAAAAATATTAAGCAGAAAAGAAATTTCTTTCTGTCATAAAGTGGAAGACTAAATTACCCAAATTTATGACTCCAAAAGGTTGAAGCCCACCTACGAGCACAGTTATTGTCTGAGATCCATAGAACCAACCCACCAACTGTGGCCGGTCCTGTTTCTTCTGATACTCCACCAACCCCATCCAGCGGTTCCTTAAATAAGGTACCGCCTTTCTGTTTCCATTCCTGTACCTCTAAAACATAATTGTAATGGTAATCAGAGTCTTCAAAAAGATTCTCATTTAATCTCTGACTATATATTATTATTTTATTACATTTCTCATTCATTTATCAATATATAATTGGACACACCACTGGATTCTAAAGTCCTTCAATATCACAAAATATGCATTTATGAAATCATTTCTATCTTCAAGAAGATTATTGTTTTTCATTAGTGAAAATGTAGTGTATGTGGGGAAGTATCCAGACAAAGAGCGATAAATACAACAGTATGTTTGTACCTTCCATTCTAATTTCCTTTCACAATTTTCTATTATGACAAATGACCATACCTACGGTTGATATTTAAAATCGCTATTCCTTTCCATAGCTGATGTTTTGATACAAGCTACCTCCTTTGTTTAGAATCCTTGACTCTCATCTCTTCATTTGCCCCAATATATTTCTGGGTCAGCCAAGATCCCCCTTCCTCAGAAAAAACTTCACTGATGTCCTCCTTCTACTATAGAACACATCAGGCCAAGGTGTCCTGAACATGTCTCTTTATTTAGAACATTTATTAAAATTCTAATAATAGAGTGTTCTTTAAGCATACTTGATAATAAGTTCAGATTATAGATTTCTTGTCCAGGAGAACATCAGACAAAGGTGAACTAATGAATTTATATCTGAGTGTTACAATTAAATCCAAGCCTGTTTTTGGCCATGATAGGACCAGTGGAGTCACCTCCACCTACAGAACAGAAGACTGTGATCTACAGTGAGAGGGAAGGTAACTAAAGAGAAAGGCAAGAGGAGAATCATGTCACTACTCTTTTAGTTGAAGACGTGTAACCACACAGACTAATTGAAGACAGATTACCTGTATACAGGGGTTCTCAATTTGTGGTAGTTTTTTGGTTTGTTTATGTTTTTGTTGTTTTTGATAAGCCCAAGAATTCCATTTTCCTCAATAAAGTCTACATATTTAAATGAGAGTCAGAGCTAACTAGCATGTCCTCCTTAGCCATCTTGGCTTAGGTGACCATGGATGGAAGTCGTGTGTAGTCATTACCAGCTCAGATCCACTTTTCTGTCACTTCATAGACATAATTGGACATCCCAGGACAACATTCTGGGAAATAACTTATTTCTCCTGCATTCTGGCTTTAAAGGGACTACATAAAGTTTTCTTAGGCTCTACCACTTTAAATAGGCATCAATGTCTGTTCCTATAGCAATTAGATTTATTTGACTGCATCTAAACCTCCTTAGCCCAGGAATCCCAGGTAGGGTCCTATGTCTGCTATACCTAACCACTCATATAGCCATTTCTTCTTTGATATCTAGAACTTCCACAGGAGGCCTGGAAAATATGTCTGATTACTTCCTCTGTGATTCACTAGCTCTGAAAGACAACCTTGCTTTTATATATCTTAGGTCATCCCTAAGTGATTGTTTATATTTAATAATATGGTTGCTCTATGCTTTAGGATTTAAAGCCAAAAGCAGACTATTCTTATTTTTCATCTTTTGTTATGACTCTCCTAAATCAAAGAGCACAGAATGGTTGAAAAAAAAAATAGAGATATTACTGGCTTAGAATTACTACCTGGGAAAAAAAGAAGTTTATTAGTTTTATTCCAATCACTACAACTTTATCTGGGTTTTCCACAAGAGGGTCAACATAAATCACAATACATTGCTGGATCAGGCAGACACATAAACCTTGCATAGTATTTTAAATAACAATGAAAATCATGATATTTTTCTAACTGAGCATCTACTGGGTAAAGGGTAGAAGTAAAGTCTATGATTTTATGTACATGATGGCATTTATTCTTCAATACAGCTCTATGAGCACAGTAGGAAGACCACGCTCAAGGGAAAAAATGTGTTCTGCTTTTTTAGACAAGTTAAATGTGAGATTCCAACAGGACATCTAAGAATTATCCATCTGATACTATGGAGCTTTAACTTGGACAATTTTCGCTGGGCCTTTTACTGAATTACATCAGTATAGACATAGTTGCTAAAACAGTTGATGTAGCTGAGAGTATCTGATAGAATAGAAATAATAATGCCACTCGTTTACTGAGTACACAGAATGATTCAGGCTCTTCTAAGGGTTTTTCAATAAGTATCTTCATTAATCTTTTACGATCCGATTGTTTCATGTATTAACTCATTTAATTCTTTGTGGTACACAATGAGCAGAAGAAAGAGTTAAATTTGAGGATGGTCAACATGGCTCATAACAGTCCTATATTACCAAGGATGTCCCTAACCAAATCAGAACACAGAGATACCCTCTTTCATGAGATACATATACTGGTCAACACAGAGATGGTTGGATCTACATGACAAAGTTCATGCTTTGTCACATATATTCATGTGGGATTCTTGGAACAAATAAAGGCTAATATTGGAACGCAAAAAGATCAAAACAAAGGTTAACACATTCAGACACACAGAAATGCTAAGGCTTTCCAATTGCTCCAGTTCCCAGAGCCATTAGTCAAAAGTCCCAAGCCTTCCTTGACAGCAGTTGCACCGAAAATACCTTTTGTAACTTCCTCCTACCTTTCTGCCCAGTGAGAACTTTCCCCTTAGCCCTTGTCATTGGACACACCAGCTCCTTTCTCTCTCCTGCTGCTCCCTGACGTCGCCTGCCCTTTCACTTAGGCTCATGTTGGGTAGGAGTGAATATCACATGTCATGGTCCCAATAGAGGGGAAGATGTGACTCAAAGGACAGGAATTCATTAAAGGATAAAGGTGAGAATGAGAAAAGAGTCCTTCCTACGGAAATAGAAGAGATGTGACCCACAGGGAGGAGAGACAGTGTGACCGAAGGGAGAAAAGTATGATCACCTGCATCTCAACTGGTTTATTTTTATCTCTTTCTGCTTCAAGGTCACCCAGGACAAGGATATCAAATAACAACTGTTCAGTCTTTATTCAAGTGTGGAAATTTTGCCTGAACTCTTCCATGTAAAAACTTGATGCCATTGATGTTTATGAAGATAAGATTGAAGCACAGAAAATAATATATGTATATATGTCTGGTTGAAATACAGTATATATACCAGTTATTAATTCTAGGAAATGGAGTATTACAGGTACATTTTATTTCATTATTTTTACTGGTTTGCCTTTTCTTCATATCATATTTTACATCAGAATTTTCATGATTTGAAAAAAAAATAAACTTTTATTTCTAAAAGAGTGCTTCCCCAGGAGTCTCTTTAATCCATCTGTGAGTTACATAAAAGCAAATAAACTGTGTCCTGCAAGTTAGGGTGGGGCACCGAGATTTATAGTTTGGATGGGATCTTTAAGGAAAAGATCCTGGTCAAGACTGAACTGACTGTGCTTGGCACAAAGAAACCAGACGGAGGGGACAGATAGGGGTGAAATCCAGCCAATGATTCTGTTGCAAGCACTGTGTCCTGGGATGCAGTTGCTCCAGCCCAAAACTGGAGATATTGTTTCAGAATTGGTCTCCTGGAGGGGGAATGATTGGGTAATTTGCTTGCCAAATCAGGCACCTTCTGGCGATGTGCATGAAGGCACTTGCCTATGTTAGAGGAATTCCTGGTCCAGTTTGATGCAAATTATCTGGTCGGTATGTTTCCTTCAGCACCAACAGCTCGTCAGGAGCTCTCCAACCATATTTCCCCTTCTCACATTCCACTATATGAATCCATCAGAAAGTTGCCCCAGGCAGTTAACTTCGGCAAACTGAAGACTAATTAATTTATTTTAGAGTAAAATGGCAGAACGTAGGTGTCTAAAACTTACGATGTATTTGTAGATCATATATTTGGTACCTGGTACCATTATTTGGTGTCACTTAATCTTCATAGTAGCTCTAGAAGGTTGACAGTTCTCTCCTTTTTATTCTCTGTATATAAAGAAAAAAGGGCACAGAAAGGTAAATTTACTTTCCAAGTGACAGTTAGGTGGTCTTATATGCTCCTTGATTTAACATCCAGGGTTGTTATTCCGGCTTGGGTTAGGTGTGCTAATGTTAAGGAGCAGGGATAAGATGAAAATCAAACAGTGAATAAGCCAGGATTCCACCTAAGCTGGAGAAAGCTGAAAAGAGCCTCACTCTCACCCTTACAATTATGAAAAAGTTGCTGTCCTTTGGATGGGGCTCCTTTATTTCATATTCTTTGATGTCCTTGAATGTTTCACTGTGCTAAAAGGTGGGTTTAATTGATCAGCTTTATTTCTAAATAATTTCATGGTGCCAAGGATCAGCTCAGCGCTGTTAGGCTGTATGCTCTACCCCTGGGGGGTCTGAAACTAGGCCCACATCTCTTTTTCCTGGCCACTTGAGGTGAAAGACCTGCTGTGCTGAAGGGACTGAGATGTTCTCAGTCCATTGACGACAACATTTATGTGAGAGCATGCTGGCAAAAATGCTTTGGTGGGACAGCAATGGTGGGTCAGTGCAGCCAAGGCCATGCTGCAAGTGGGTGCGGCCAGGCAGAAACTCTGGGACAGGCCAGCAGAGGAGGGGCACGCTAATCTAACAGGCCCCACCCTACGAGCAGATAGTTCCTTTTTATCCAGGTCCAGAAGCCAACAAAGGCTAAAGCCATCTAAAGGAGTATGGCAAGCCTTCAGGGACGGGCATCCATGTCCATGCTCCACTGAAGCCATTCCTGCGTCAAACCCTGTCTGTGCATTCTGGAGTTCTGTCTCTGCCAACTCTCCTGGCATTTCTCCCAGCCAGTTCAGATGTCTGTGGGAGTTGTGGGATCTCCTCCGGCTAGAATTCTGGAAGTCCATGATGAGAGTTGGCCTCTCTATACCTATTTCACTCAACCCTTTCCCACATTTTTAATTTTTTAAGAAACCTCAATAATGTTTTCCTTAATGATTATACCATTGTGCATTCCCATAAATAGCGTATAAGGATTACAAAGGTTTCTCTACATCCTCACCGACATCTGTTATCTTTGTTCGTCTGTTGATAATAGACATTCTAACAGATGTGACGTGATGAAATATTGTCAGACAGTCTTCCAAAGTGGCTGCAACAATTTACATTTCCACAAGCCGTGTAGAAAAGTTCTAATTTCTCCACATACACATCAACACTTGTTATTATATAATTTGTTATTCTAGTCAGCCTAATGGGTATACCCAACCTGGTGGGTATGAAGCGATTTGCATTTCCCTGGTGAATAATGATGTCAAGCATTTTCAAAAATACTTATTGACTGTTTGCACATCTTCCTTGGAGAAATTGCTATTCAGAGTCTTTGCCTAGTTTTTAATTAGTTTGTGTTTATTATTAAGTTGTATAGTTCTTTATATATTCTAGATACAAGTCCCTATGGAATACGTGATTTGCCAATATTTACTTTCATTCTACTGGTTGTCTTCTAATATTCTTGATAATGTTATTTGATACATAAAAGTTTTTAATTTTAATGAAGTCCAATTTATATATTTTTTGCATATGCATTTGATATCATATCTTAGAATCTATCACCAAATTCAAGGTCATGTGAATTTACACCTATGTTTTATTCTAAGAAATGTATCATTTCAGTTCTTACATTTAAGAGTTTTGATCCATCTGGGCACAGTGGCTTACGCCTGTAATCCCAACACTTTGGGAGGCCAAGGCAAGTGGATCAGGAGGTCAGAAGTTTGAGATCAGCCTGACCAACATGGCAAAACGCCATCTCTACTAAAAATACAAAAATTAGCCAAGTGTGGTAGCACATACCTGTAATCCCAGCCACTCAGGAGGCTGAGGCAGGAGAATCGCTTGGACCCAAGAGGCGGAGATTGCAGTGAGCTGAGACTGCACCACTGCACTCCAGCCTGGGCCACAGAGTGAGACGCTGTCTCAAAAAAAAAAAAAAGGAAAGAAAGAAAGAAAAGAAAAGAAAAAAAAAGGAAGAAAAAGATTTTTGATCCATTTTGAACTACTTTTTTTATATGATATGAAATAATGAATCAAGTTTATTCATTTTTATGTGACTATCCAGTTGTCCCAGTATAATTTGTTGAAATTGACTAGTCATTTTTTTTATTAGATAGAAAGCTGCAATACCTGTGAATTTTAAAATAGCATCTTCCTGGCAAATGAGCAAATTAAGATAGTCTTTTGAGTGGATCTCAATTTAATATGATTATACCTTATAAAAGGGAAAAATTTGAACACAGAGAAGGACATGCTATGGAGAACACCCTGTGAACATAAAAACAGATATTAAGATTATGCATTTTTAAGCCAAAGAACACTGAAGATTTTCCTCAAGCCACTAGAACCTATGAAGTAAGCACAGGACACATTCTTTCACAGCCATCAGAAGGAATCAAATCTGCTGACACTTGATCTTGGACTCATAGCCTCCAGAGCTGTGAAACCACAAATTCATGTTGTTTAAGACACCCAATTTGTGGTCTTTTCTTTTAGAGGCCCTAGAAAAGTAATAGCTTGGAAAGGTGACATAGGGTACTATTGTAACAAATACCTAAAAATGTGGAGATGGCTTTGGAATTAGAAAATCGGTATCAGCTGGAAGAATAAGATGTATAATATAATGGGTATAAACTGGAAGAATGAGATGTGTAATATAAAAAGTGTAGTTTGCCTTGAAGAGATTATTAGTAGGTGTGGACATTAAAGGAGGTTCTAGTATGGGCTTAGAAAGAAAAGAGGACAGTCAAAGAGAAAGCCTCTATTATCTTTTAGAATAAACATGTCATCATCAACAGAATGTTTGATAGAAATATAAATGCTAAAGGTGCTTCTGATGAGGTCTCAGATGGAGATCACGTATATGGGCAGAAAATGGGAAGAAAGGCAATTCTCATTACATAGTGAGAGAGGACTTGGCTCTCTGGCTGTATTGTATTCTGTTGAATAAATAGTAGAATCCATTAAGTGATGAACTCAGATGTTTAGCTGAGGAGATCTCTAAGCACAGTGTTGAAGGAATACCCTAATTTCTTCTTATTGTTTAAAATAAAATGAGGAGAGAGATAAACCGAAGACAGAAATTTTGAGAAAAATAAATGAGAGTTTGAATACAAGCATTTGAAAACTCCTTAGCCTATTCACATTGCAAAGAGAGACAGACTCTAGAGAGAATACCAAGAGAGATGTGTTTCTGGATACTGGATAACCACAGGCTAAACAGATTACGTACATGACACGTGGATACCATCAACCATCTCAGCTGACATGTTGTCAGCTGTACCAAAGTATGCTGAGCATGAATACAAAGAGCCTTAAAATCTAATTTAATTTTCTTTATTAGTTTTTGAACTTGTTTGGCACTTGTATCCCTTTTCTTCTTTCTGGTCTTTTCTTTTAAAATGGAAATGTCTATGCTGTGCCTGTCAGATCATAGTATTTTGAAAGAGATAACATATTTTCTAGCTTTTCAGGTTCACAGATGGAAAGGAGTTTTGCCATGGAATTAATTGTATTCTGAGTCTCACCCATATTTATTTTGATATTTAGTTAAGATTTTGGACTTAGTTAATTTTGACGAATGAGTTGAGGCAGGGGAATATTGGGATGAGGTGATTATATTTTACCTTTCATTAGAATATGAATTAGTGAAGGTCAAGAGTGGAGTTCTACTGCTTGAACTGTATCCTCCTAAAGTTTGTGTGCTCAGTTCCTTACGTCTCATACCTCAAAACGTGACTTTATTTGGAATAGGATAATTACCGATACAATGAAGTAAGCTGAGGGCATTGGGTTAATGATTGTCTAATTCAATACCACTGGTGTCCTCATTTTTTTTACGGAAATTCCAGAGACATATTTGCAGGTAGAACATCATTTGACAATGAAAGTAGAGATCAGAATAATGCATTCATAAGCCAAAGAACACCAAAGATTTCTGGCAAACCACCAAAAGGTAGGAAAGATACATGAAATGGTTGCTTTCTCAGAAGAAATCAACCCTACTGACCTCTTGATCTCAGGCTTAATTCCTCCAGAGACATGAAATAATAAATTCCTGTTGCTTAAGCTACCAAGTCAAAGGTACTTTGTTACAGCAACCCTTTAAAACTAATACACTCTTAAAGGACCATCTTCCTTTTCATCAGAACATTTATCTCAGTGTATCACATTTATTAATTTCCTGTTAAGAAAAATAACTACCTTCCAAATTCAAGTATAAGTTCCATAAAATTTGGATTTATTAATTTCCTCTTTTCTCTACAGAACCTTAGAGAGTTTCTGGTAGCTATTAAGAACTCAGTAGAATGGATGAATAGATAAATGGGTGAATGAGTGAATGGCATGCTGGCTTCTCATCAATGCCTCTTTAACGCAGCTGTAAAATTTGGCTTAAGTCCCTAGGCTCTATAGCCAAGTTACATTTCATCTTGAATAGTCAACTTCCAGTCATGATTTGAACATGATCATGTAACAAGATGGCCATATTTAATTTTTTAAGGCACTCCATGACAAAAGAGGATAAGAGAAATCATTAGATATTGTTATTAGATATTGTTTCTGATAGAACTTAAGCAGTCTAGGCTGAAGAAACAAAGAGATCCCCTTGCATTTAACAGAAGAAGAATGATTTAGTTATTATATTAATATGACTAAGGGTAGAATGAGCTGTATTATGAGATTATGAATTTTCTGTTGTGACCTTTCTTTTTGGAGGGCTGTCATGGTCTATCATTCCTTATTTTTTAAATTTTCTACATTGGCAGATAACATTATATGTTTTTGTAAGGTACAATATGATGTTTTGAAGTATACGTACATTGTGAGGTGATTAAATCTCGCCAATTAACAAATATATTTCCTCACAGCTATCATTTTTGTCATGAGAAAACATAACATCTACTCTTTTTACATTTTTCAGGAATACTATATTTCATCTTCAGCTACAGTCGCCTTGCTGTAAAATAGATCTCTTGATATTTGTTCCTACTATCCTTTTACATGCCTTTTGACCAACATTTTCCCATTTCTCTCTCCCCTACAACCACCCTCGCCTCTGGTTACCACCACTCTACTCTCTCCCACTATGAGATCAACTTTTTGACACTCTACATATGAATGACTGAAATGGTTGGGCTCTGTGTCCTTACCCAAATCTCATTTCAAATTGTAATCCCTGTAATCCCCAAGTGTCAAGGAAGGGACTTGGTGGAAAGTGATTGGACCATGGGGGCGGTTTCTCCCATGCTGTTTTCATGAAAATGAGTGAGTTCTCACAAGATCTGATGGTTTCATAAGTGTTTGACAGTTCCTCCTTCACATGCTCTCTCACCTGCCATCATGTAAGGCATGCCTGCTTCCCCTTCTGCCATGATTGTAGGTTTCCTGAGGCCTCCCCAGCCATGTGGAACTGCGAGTCAATTATACCTTTTTTCTTCTTTTTTTTTTCTGTATAAATTACCTAGTCTTGGGAAGTTCTTCACAGCAGTGTGAGAACAGACTACCACAATGGGATCATGTGATATTTGTCTTTCTGTGCCTGGCTTATTTCATTTAACATCATTTCCTTCAGGCTTATCCATGTCATCACGAATGAAAGGACTTCCTTCCTTTTTATGGTTAAAAGTATTCTATTTTGTATATATACATCTTTCCTTTTTGTGGGGGCTCAGGGATGTTTATTTTCTTGGCATTTGGGAGACATCCTCCTCCTCCCCCAGGAAAGGACAGAGAGTTGCCTGGATGTTTATAGGCAAATGGGTGCACCAAAAGCCCATGAAAGCAAAGGAGATCATTGGAGATCATGCAGTCTTGTGTTCAAGTCTTATGTGGTCTCTACATTTCTGAGCTTTTAAGAATAACAGCAGAGGTTGCAGTAAGCCAAGATGGTGCCACTATACTCCTGCCTGGGTAACAGAGTGAGACCCTGTCTCAAAAAAATAAAATAAAATAAAAAAAGAATCTTTGGCCACACTTGGTGGCTCATGCCTGTAAGTATAGATTCACCAATAGTTTGCGTCATGTACCTGGAAAAGCCATAGGCACTCAATGCTAGCTGTGAAAGCAACCAGAAGCGGGGGCTGTACAAAGCCGCAGGGGTGAAACTACCCAAAACCAATGGGAGCCCACCTCTTGCATCAGCATGACCTGGATATGAGACATGGAATCAAAGCAGTTCATTCATTTTGGAACTTTAAGATTTAACAACTGCCCTATTGGATTTTGGACTTGCATGGGGCCTGTAGCCCCTTTGTTTTGGCCAATTTGTTCCATTCCAAAGGGGTGTATTTACCCAATGCCTGTACCTCCATTGCATATAGGAAGTACCTAACTTGCTTTGGATTTTACAGACTCATAGGCAGAAGGGACTTGCCTTCCATCAGATGAGACTTTGGACTTGGACTTTTGTATTAATGCTGAAATGAGTTAAGGCTTTGGGGGATTATTGGAAGGGCATGGTTGTGTTTTGAAATGTGAGGACATGAGATGTGGGAGGAGCCATGGGCACAGTATTTGAGAACGAGTATGTACGCCCACTGTAAATCTTTTTCCTTAATAATCAGGGGCAGATTTCTCACTTATTATTTCATTCATCATTTTCAACTTTCTATTTTAATCTCGGGCTTTTATAGACTTTGATCACAAGCTCTCTCAGCTTCCTTTTTCCAGGCTTAAATGTCCTCATACTTTGTCATCTCTCTTTCCATCTACTGATCTTTCCCATAAAGTGATTATTAACTGTCTTCATTAAAGATTTCCCCCGATCTCCTCTACCTTCCATGAGGTGAGGTGGTGGGTAGAATACTACATAGCGCTCCATGTGCAGACATAACAATGGTTATGCAGAAAGAACTTTCAACAAGGAATGAAAATTGAAACCTACAGAAAACACAACAAAAAACTGGTTTCCTCCAAGGATAGTTAAGGGCAGCATGGGTCACAAATAAATAAATTTGCTACTTTCAAAGTAGGCCTAGGCGTGATCTAGAATAGAAATTTAGAGCTGCAAAGGAACTTAATTTCTGCAGGTTAGTTGCTCCCGCACATTATGTGAAGTTACTGCCACCTTGTGGCAATACCTAAGCACTACACTTTCTGACTTTGAATAACCTAGGAAAATGTAATCCATAACACAACCAGCCCTTTTGCTAAAGCGCCTTAAATACTGCCTAACAGTTTATATCTGAATAGAACTATGGCATATAACGTCACTTACATGGTCTCATCCCGACTTCAAAGAAATCATGTGAACATAGAAACCATGTTATCCATGTTGAGTGCTTGCGTGCACACACACACACACACACACACACACACACACACACAGTAAAAGTTGAACTTAAAAATCTCTAAATTGTTACATTTGGAGGCTCTTATTTTGGGGGATCCTTGTGTGAGACGCTCCTTTGTTGGCCAATTTTAATCATACAGACAGAAATAAATGATATATCAATTGTACATAGATTTAAAAATGTAAACGAAATGCAGATAAGATGGAGACATTCAATGATCTGTCCAGTAATATAAAAACAGTTTTTGTGTGCGGGCAACTTACATTGTCATTACTGGAAGGAAAGAGAAGGATAAATAATACTTGAATTTACAAGAGCAGACGTATGAATAACAAGACTCCCTTGAAGAAGAAAGGATCCTCTGGGACCACAGCAGGCTGGGGGCAGGGAGAACAACGGACAAGCTGTGTGGAAGAACAAAATGACCTAGTATCCAGTTTATTTTTTTTTTCAGTGCTATAATTTCTTTCCTTTATCTTCAAACCTTTGGTAAACCATGTAAATGCAGTTTTGAGAAGTTAAGATTGAAATTTCATATTCATGTTCACTGCAATTGAACTGGAGACAAAGATGTCATCCCTAGTGTTGGAGGTGGGGCCTCATGGGAGGTGTCTGGATCACGGGGGTGGATCCCTCATGAATAGCTTAGGGCCACCCCCCGCTTCCTTCACCCACATACATTCCCAGAAATGCCGTAAAAGGAAAGGCCCAGGCTTGGCAGAGAAAGGGATCTGCCAGATGAGGGACTCTTCCTCCTCTTCCTGAAGACATTTTGCCACAAGCACACAACTCAACTTCTGAAAAATATGGTCTTCCTCACTGCAGACACCACGCCAGCGTTTTGAATCATCAAGTTAGCTGTCTTCATCTGTTCTGTTTGCAGTATGTAGTTTGCCTGTGACAACATTAGACTTATCTGGAAGAAAGAACTTAAACCTATCCAATCCCTCATTGGTGGTGTTATCCAGGCCCGTTAGCAAGAGTATCTCCGTATTTTACTCTCCATTTCACGACTTTAGGATCAGCTTATAAGGAATCCAAACTATGTAAGATCATACCACCCAAAGTGATTCGACGTTCAAAATAAAGCAAGGTGAGCTGTTAATATTTTTTAAAGGGGAAATAAAATGTTCACAGTGTTGGGAACCAGCGCAACCCTGCGTGGGGGTGCCCCGTGTCCCTGCAGTGATGAGGGAGTGAGAAAAGGAAATAAAGACCAAGACACATCAGAAGTTCACAGCATGGGTCCAGGGGTCCAACGCACTCTCACACAGGGTGATCTGCGTTGGCACTGAGCTCTGGCCTCTGCCGCTTTCATTAGGTGTATACACTTGTTAATTGAGAGATGGGGGAGCAGGGAGGGATGATCAGGGAGGCCTTGAAACTAAGGTGGGCAAGATAGCCAAGGGGGAGAGGTATGGGTTAAGCAAACTTAGTTGCTGCCAAGGTGCATTTGCATCAGAAGCCTAGCGGATAAGGCGCCACCAGCTCTGACCACATCCAATGCTTTTTATCTCGTGAGCATTGCTGGCATAGAGCAATTAAAATTACTGCATATTCTGAGAACCTAGGCAGAGCCTGTGGCATTCTGGTAATCTCTGCTCTGCAAGGCTTTTCCTTCTTGCAAGCTCCCATCTGCAAAGACCCTCCCGGATCTTGTGAGCAGAGATCTTACACAAGTCCTCTTTACGAGATCCTCATGCAGACTCCTTTCTGAGAAGGCGTTCGTGGGACCAAAGCCGTATTTACTGCCCTAAAACCACCGCTCCTATTCCACGGTTTCACAGCGCTCTCAGATGGTCTTTGCCCCCTGCTGCTGCTGCTTGATTTCTATTTTACTGCAACAATATTTGATATAGTTTAGTTCGGGGTAGAAACTTAAGTGTACAATAAGCAAAGCAGGCTTGTAATTATTTGACTAGAAATGACATAGGTTTGCCCCTGGCCATCTTGACCCACATACAGTATAGTAAAAGAGATTTTGGTGAAATATAAGAAAGAACTCCTTAAGCAAGATGGTCATTCTTCCTGGGAAAGACATCTTCAGAGAGTATACAACACCTCTGGAATTCTTAGAAAATGAGATACATTTTCCTGTTATTTTTTAGAAGTTATTCAGGCATAACTGACATACAACACAATGCACATATTTTAAGTGTACAATTTAAAGTTTTTTGACATGTATACAGTAAAGCTCCATTTTTCAGTTTTTTCTTTAATAAATCATGTTTTTGGAATTGTATTTATGTGATTTGAATATTTATTTGCCTCAAATCTCATGCTGAAATGTAATTATCCCTAGCGTTGGAGGTGGGGCTTGACAGGAAGTGCTTGACTCATAGGGGTGGATCCCCCATGAATGACTCAGGGCCGCCCCCTGGTTGATCAGTGAGTTTTCCTCTGAGTCACACAGATCTGGTTGTTGAAAGTGTGTGGCACACTTAAGACCTAATGTGACTAGTGCCCTGTTAGAAGAAAACAGGATCATCCCAATACGCTGAGGTAGGGGAAAGTGTCTTAAGCACAAAACGTACAAGACAGGAAGGAAAAGTTGATTACATTTGATTGCATGTCCACTCTAAATTTCTCGATAAAAAAGACAAAATAAACATAACAAACACTTCCAAATCCTGAAGGAAAATATAGGCAATGTATATAATTCAGAATGTATGTAGAACCACATATTATCCCATTTGTGCAGCCCACATGAAAAATGGACAATAGGCATGAATAACCACGTGGCTCAAATGCCCAGCACACATATGAACGGGTGCTCAAAATTACCAGTATTTCGTGACCTCTAAAGCAGCAACCTATACAGTAAAGGGCTTGTGCCAAGAAGAAGAAAAGATGTTTCTGAGCTTAAGATAACCGACTGTGACTTTCAGGGGAGCTTGAATCCTCCCATCGACAGAGATAATGTTAATATATTCTGAGTTATTACTTTTAATATGAAGTTATTATTTTTTCCTATAGGTAGGTGATACCTAGGGAAACTGCTTATCCATATTGAATTTATAAGTAAAAATTAAAAGTATTATCAGGAACATTTTCAAAATAAGGAACCCATTTCAAATACTTAAAATGATTAAACCACCTAAATGTCCCAGTCTTACCATTGAAAGGAAAGAAGGAAATTTTCATTATTTGAGCATCTATTATACACTAAACACAATCAACTCAGCATGTTTCCTACTTATCTATAAGAATGCAATTCTCCTATAATCTTATTATTTGCTAACATTCAGATATCAATCACAATTTATATATAAGAAAATTAAGACAGCTCTGTCTCTAACATTTTGCTTTTCTCATATAAATATGAAATTTGCATTTTAGTCCATGATATCTGTTTACTTAAAAAAAAAAAAATTTTAAGCTGGGCATGGTGGCTCAGGCCTGTAATCCCAGAGCTTTGGGAGGCTGAGGTGGGTGGATCACCTATGTCAGGAGTTCAAGACCAACCTGGCCAACATGGTGAAACCCCATCTCTACTAAAAATACAAAAATTAGCCGGGGGTGGTGGCACATGCCTGTAGTCCCAGCTACTCAGGAGGCTGAGGCAGGAGAATTGCTTGAACCCAGGAGGTGGAGGTTTCGGTGAGCCAAGGTGGTCCCATTGCACTTCAGCCCGGGTGACAGAGTGAGACCACCATCTAAAATAGATATATATTGTAAAGTATTTGCTATAGGATAAAATTAATGCCCAAAGAAAATGCAGACAATCTGTAAGGTAGCTTCATGACCCAGGGGTGTACACGCTGTAGCTGAGAAGCGTGGTCCTGTACCATGCATAATAGCTGACACTGGATGGCGCCTTGCTGTGTGCAAAGTGCTTTCATGCGGAGTCTGGAAGACACGAAGAAAATGAAACATTGGCCGGGCGTGGTGGCTCATGCTTGTAATCCCAGCATTTTGGGAGGCCGAGGCAGGTGGATCACCTGAGGTCAGCAGTTCAAGACCAACCTGGCCAACATGGTGAAACCCCGTCTCTATTTAAAAAAAAAAAAAAAAAGAAAAGAAAAGAAAAATAAAAAGGAAACATTGAGGGAACATATAATTATCCCTGAATGGGGATGATAATTCCTATCTCTGGGTTGTAAATACGCAGCATGGTATGCCTGATACAAGACAGCTGGCATTTATTATAGTCTCCCAATTATTACATTTTAAATTAGGTTGCATGAGTTATCTGAAGCCACACAGCTAGTAAAAGACAGTACAAATTACCGAATTCAGGTCTTTCGAATCCAGGAGCTCTGCTTCTTATGCCAACTGCCTGTTTATCCTACAGAGAGTAAGGAATGAGTCCCTGTTAAAAAAAAAAAAAAAGAAAGAAAAGAAAGAAAAATAAGAGCAGTACTTTTTGCTGTGATTTCAAAGACATCAATCCTCAGGTATATAGTAGTGTAATAATTGAAGCATTAGCAATTATTTTATTTATCAAATCATTTATTTCTTTTTTTTTTCATTTTTTGTTTTTTTGAGACGGCGTTTCGCTCTTGTTACCCAGGCTGGAGTGCAATGGGTGATCTCCGCTCACCACAACCTCCGCCTGCTGGCTTCAAGCAATTCTCCTGCCCCAGCCTCCCGAGTAGCTGGGATTACAGGCATGCGCCACCATGCCCAGCTAATTTTTGTATTTTTAGTAGAGACGGGTTTTCACCATGTTAACCAGGATGGTCTCGATCTCTTGACCTCGTGATCCACCCGCCTCGGCCTCCCAAAGTGCTGGGATTACAGGTGTGAGCCACCGCGCCTGGCCTCAAATCATTTCTTTCTTTTCACCTAGAATATTGACACAGCTTGTTCCTTCACTCTGTTCAGATTCTGCTTAATTGTTTTCTTCTAAGCTCAATCTTCAATGAACACATGCTGTAAAATTGCACATTGTACCATTACTCTCTATTACCTTACACCATTTACATTTCTTCATAGCACTTATCTGCTTATAATACACATACATTATATTACATATGACATTAAAGTATAAATGCTGTTGCTATTTGATTATTCTTTAATTGCCAGCCTGCTGAAATAAAAGTGCCTTGCAGGCAAGGATTTGTGTGCTGTTTACTGCTGTACTCCTACCACCTAGAGTAGTGTCTTGCACATAGTAGGTTCTCAGTAAACATTTGTTAAGCAAGCATGTGTTGAATCAACTGTCTAGGCATCCCATCTAAGACTTCAGCCCTGGGAATCTCTAGTTCCTAAGCTCTATTCATCCATGTGGCTTGATTACTGAAGAGACAGGGTTACTGTAAGGCCCGTTGCCTCCCTGGGAGGTTGGACACACCCACCTCTGTACTCAGCACCTGACTCTGCACTCGGCAACAGGCTCTGCACTCGGCGCGTAGCTCTGCCGCATGGCTCCCTTGGAAGGCTCTGGCTGGCCAGCTCTCGCACCGGAAAACCCGCCCAGCAACCCGCCAACCAATAGCGGCCCACCCCGCCTCAATCCCGCTCCCCTGGACCCAATCAGAGCACCCAGCTGTTGCTCGTTCCTCCTAGCCATAAACCCCACCACCACCCCCCCACCCCAGGAAGTCAGCCAGACTTCTCTGGCCCCCTTTCCCCCGACCAGAGAAACTCGCCAGCGAGCTGAATAAATTGGCATTTAATTTTCTTATACTGGCCTCAGTTTCCTCATTTTAAACTCGGCAATAACCCTTACAGCTACCTAAGCATGCATAGAGCAAATGTCCTCACTGCACATTCTTGAAGAGAGATGTCCAAGACAGAAATAGCATAGATAAAAAGCAGAATTGTAATCAAACCACATCTATCTACTTGTAGGATGATTTCAAAAGAGAGCAAGGTTAAGAAGGCTTTTAAAAATCTAAGGTATGATGCCAAATATATAATATATACATAATAAAAGTGGCAAATTTAGAAACTTCTGTCTCTGGAGGGAATAATCCAACTTCCTATGGTTCCACTGTGCAAGTTACCCTAGATTCTAAGAAGGAAGTAAAACATGGTGTATTACAAGGAAACTTGAAGTAACTGAGTTTGTGTGAACTTTCAGACTAAGCTGATAGATAACACGAGGTTTATTTTAACATTTCTGCTTGAAATAACCTAGTTATTTCATCTAGAATAATTTAACTGGTGAATCCAATATTTATTTAGACGATAAGTGTATTTTTATGCAGGCTATATCATAATATTCTGCAATTACAAAATTATGTAACAGTTAAATTACCACCGTAAAGCTAAGAAGAAATAACTTGTCGTATTCCAAATTCTTAAAGGAGCTCAATCTCTGTTCTCTAAGTAATCCCTTCTCTGTTTTGCTATTTATTGTGATTCTTGGGT